TACTCAAGATGGTGGGATTATGGGTAACCTTCACTCTTGTATACTTTTCTGGATTACTTAATTTTTAAAATGAAAACAGTTGGCTCCAGTGTGGAAGTTAAGACACTGGACCCCGCATAGCTAGCTTTGCGGTTGCAGTCTTGGACACAGCGGCTAGGGAATCACACCAGGTGCATGCAAATGTGTGCTCAAAAATCCCAAGAGAATGGAGAAAGAAGCAGGGATTGCAGCACGTCCACACTCCTCCCCTGGGGGTATGGGGTAAAGGGGATGCTTTCTCACTCTCCCACCCCTTCTGGCAAGCACATGCACCCTATAACAAAATTTCTTCTTAAAAAAGGTACAGAATTGTTCTGGTGAAAAACATAATTCACAGACCAGCAGTTGGCATAAGGGCAATGTCACTGGACTCCCACGTAGTCGAATGCAGTTTGAGTCCCAGATCTGATGGCTTAAACTCACGCTGGGCGCGTGTGCGTGCATGCCCAAGACCCCCAGAGGAAAATGGAGAAGGGATTGTGGCATGGCCAGCCCCCCAAGGGGTGATTTCTTGCTTTCTGTTTCTCTGTCTGGCAAGCGCATGTGCCCTACAGCAAAAAACTTCTCCCCCCCAAAAAAACAAGAAAAACGTAATTCACCATATACAACTGCATACGGCAAATAAATGTAGTTTTTAATCAGTGAAATTCTCATTTTATGAAATGAAAATGATATACCCAATCTTTGAGGCTGGACAACATTCCAGCAAAGGTTAGGAGGCTTTCCAACACAATAACAACTTGATAAGGAATGAAAGAACAATGCAGTGCTTCATGTGCTCTAAAAAGTGCATCTATTTTCCAGGTAAATATCTAAAGGGAAGCCACTGGTGCTCCACAGGCACCTGTGAAAGAAAGACTGTTTGGACAATAGTTAAGACTATTAATCCCTGATGTATTTGCTTCCAAAAAACCGCAATAAAAACAGGCACTAACAGATATTTTTAAAAGCCCATGTTCAGACAGTCAACGAATGGCCCTCAGTATTCTTTCAACAAATATTTTTGGAACACCTATTCTGTGCCATGCCCTATACTAGGAGCTAGAGAGAAATAAACAAAAGGCTATATCCTAGCCCTCCAAAGCTTTCAGTCTAGTGAGTATCTAAGAAATATCTATAGGAGCCGGCAGGTGGCATGGTGAAGGTGCTCGATTCCCGCATGGCCAACCACAGCTCGAGTCCTGGACCTCGTGGCTTACTTCTCACTTTCCCTTTCTCTCTCTCTCTGTCTCAGTCTGGTCAAATAAAAAAATAATAATAACAAATGGAATTAAATAATTCTTTTAAAAAAAAAAAGAAAAAGAAATATCCATGATAATTCTATGCCCAAATTCCTCCTTAATGCCACAGTTATGATTCCAGTGTTCCTTATTATCTGAACATACTGCACTGAAAAGGGGGGGACAAGCATTACAGTACAGTATATTATTTATATGGAATTTATGTCATGTGGTTGATTCCTTTATTGTCCTATTTGACTGACATACAAACTTCAGAAAGCTTTACAGAACATACAAGCAATTAATTATATTCTCTTTGTTATCTTTCACAGATACTTGGTGAAGTCCATAGCCCAAAATTATATTTGTTTTTAAAGGAGGATAGTAAAATTATAGAAAACATTTTGATTCTTTTCATAGCCTGTATGTATCCCAAATGAGTTTCAACATCAGTAAGTACTGCGTTCGTTGTACGTAATTGTGAATAATGTACAGATTGACCATATAAGTTTAGAGGTGATTTTAAAGGCTGGAAATTTAAAAGAAAATGACACACTACTGCCAGGTGCACCAGAAGACTTTAAATCTATAATCTGTAAAACAAGCTAATGAGGAGTTAGCTCTACCTGTTTAGCCACTTTCTTAATACACACCCTAGTAACATGACAGTCAATGAACGGGAAAGCTTTCTTCTGGGTTACTTATTAAAAAGTTCACAGCAAAGAGAGTGTCAAAGGATTCAGAAGGGAGAGCTAATCAAGAATACCAACTGTCCTACCATATTAACTCTACGTAAACAGATTTACAGCTATGTTGATTAGAAATACCAGAACTCACTAGAACATTCCCAGCATGTATTACAAGTTTTCATTTGTAATTATGACATTTTAGAAATATTCTTCAATGTACTTAAGACTGCAGATTCCTTTTCCTTTAGTTTGCCTAAATGTAAACGCCTTTACAAATGTTTAAACAAGAAATAATTATCCTACTTTGATCTTGTAAGAGAATAAGTTTTATGTGTCAACTAGGTTATTTTTCCAGACTCACGAAACTTCTCTTGCTTTCTTATCATCATCTAACACTTTTACTTGATACTTTATGATTATCCTAATTATCTCTTTTCCTGACAAACCACTATCTGTGTCTCTTGTGAAGTCCGTACAACTGTCTCTAAATAATCCCCTTCTCTGCTCTTCTCATTTATTATTAACCTGTGAAGAGCAGCTATATCGACTGAGGCCCAATGAGTTTTCCTGTTCCTTCCCTATATGTCTATCTTAACTGAACAGATAGTATTTTTCTTCTTGTTCCCAGCTATACATAATAGTCAAGTTTCAGAACAAAAAGAGCCTTATAGGTGAACTAGTAAATTTCCAACTTTTAAAAAGAGGAAACAGACACACTTAAGGCAAACGACATGACCAAGATAAAATTATTTTCAAGGTAGATACCACTGAACAAACAAAGATACAACAACCTAAAGATTCAACAACCCAAAGATTCAACAACCAGACTAAAAAGCTGACATCACATTCAAACATTATTTAATGTTTTACACCCTAGATTTTACAAATCTGTTGTTTTTGATGTTTTAACTAGTTTCCCATACAAAATTGACTTCTAAAAATTATTTTTTAAACGTCTTCATTTAAATAATCTTATTGAGAAGCAGCTTTAGTTGTAAATTAGCTCAAAATCTGTGTGCATTGGGGAATCACATTATGTTCTTTGTAATTCATAGGATTTGCAGCACAATGATAGATGGAATTTGAGGAGACTATTTGTCATGCACATCCGGAGATGAGGCTCATGAGCCTACAAATGATTAAATATTACAACCTCTAACTAAAGACTTAAAAACACTAATGCTGGAGTTAAAGTGCAAATACCTTAATAGTCCATATTTTTAAAACATACTGGTATATATTGAAGTGCTTCTTAAAATTTTATATTGTTGCTATTACCTCTTAGAGTAAGAATAAACTAGGTCCCACTCAAAATAAAAAAAAGATATGTACAGAGAAATTAATAGTGAGAACTCAGGGCCAGCAGATGGTATGGAGGTTCAGGCTGCTGGATCCAGAGGGCCAACTGAGGGTTCTTAGACCGACTGGTGGTTTGAATAACATTACAGGCCCAAAATCCCAAGAGGATCAGTGTGGCCATCCTTCCTAGAGGGTTCTCTCTCTCTCTCTCTCCAGTAAGTGTTATGTGTCCTACTGCAAATCCAAACAAATGAAAAAGAATTATAGATGAGAACTGAATAAACCAAATGTTTCCTTTAAGTGCTAAAATCATAGTCAACTTAAGTAACTTAGGATGCTGAGTAATACATAGTATCTGTCAGACCATCACAACATGCTAAATACATGATAGGAATTGAAACCACATGGTTAATTTGTTGATCTACTTATTTTTGAATTATTTTATGCTTCCCCATTTTGAATTAGTCTCTGGTTTGCCAGCAGAGGCTTTCTCAGCACAAACTTTTCTAAACAGGGAAAAGTATCTCTCAAAATAATATACTAAGGCAGAGTTACACTAAAGGCCACTGATTTTCAAGATAACTTTGTTACTCTTCTCTGTATTCTCACCACTTCAGTCATTCCCATCCCACCCAGGAGATGCTTCCTGGCCCTTCTCAATGTCCTTTAACACAAATATGGAACTCTCCTGAAGTTAGAAAACTCAAATAGTGAGGAAAACTCAAATAGTGAGCGAGCCTGGGGCTGAGACCCAGAATACCTCACATCTAAATTTCATATTCCTTTCTTTTCACGTTTAGTCCCTTCAATCATTTTCTTCTAGTTGCTATGATTTAGCTCTTGGTTGTAGTAGCACTTAGATGACCCAAAGCAGTAAAGAAAGTTGGATTTTAAAAATACTGCAGCAGTCCATGACAAACTCTCATGGAAATTATAGGTAGGTACCACGATCCAGGTGCACCACGTCCACCCTCTGCCACTGTCTTCACAGGAGAGAGGGAGAAATTCCAGTTACTCAAATAAAAATTTCATTCACCAGAAGCCTTTAAAAATACCTGTCTCATTTACATTGTCAAAATGTTCATTTAAAACGTACATTTTTAGTTATTCAATAAATCACGGTATCTTGGAAATATATTTTAGCCTAGTTTAAAAGTTATAGAACAAAAAATCTTTAACATTCCTAAAGCTTTTTTTTTTTTAGCTCAATTAATGATGGACTTTTCCCTACCCTGTTAGTATGATTGTGGAGTTCTTTTTGAATTCCACTGAAAATTAGAATGAATGATGGCATAAATGTAAATGAATTTTACCAAGTCAAACAAAATACTAAACATAAAAGTTATAGAATTTTAATATACTAGAGAAAACAGCAAGGAGCCAAGGGGGAAAGATCTGGTAGGAATTCCATCAATACTCTGCCAATTGTGGGGCAAGGGAGACATGTATTAAACTGTATTTTATTCTTCTTCAGGTCTTCACACTAGGAAGGATTATGCAACTTGACTTTGAAATTTTGTTTGAAAGCAATAAAGAACTGTTCTCACTTTCGGGTCAGCTTAAGCCGAATCTTAAGGGCTTATAAGTCACCCAGAGCCTGGCAACAGAACTTTTCTTCCTTGACCCAAGAAGGCAGAGTGCCAGAGGGAAATAGCAAAGAGTAGCACTATATAAACAGGGCAAGTGGCACAAGAGCAGAGGCAAGTTATATAACCAAAATATATTTTAAAATATGTTCATAACTCGTAACAACCTTTGCCTTTGGTTGGTTTCTTGTTTGGAGTATCAGTTGAAACAGTTAATTCAATATTATCTGGATCGCCTCCTTCCTCTTCAATAGCCTACATTAGAAAGAGAAGTTAATATGCTACACAGTCTATCTAAGCTTATTTTATAAAAACGAAATGAAAAAAAAATTGCAAACCTCAAGCCTCAAGATATTAGAACTGCCAGTTCTTTCATCAACCGACTTCCAAAAAGAACAATTAAACCACATGAAAGAGTGAGAGAAACTTTGGAACGGGAGATCATTAGGTGTCAAAATCACACGTAGTGTTAAATTCTACCAAGTCGAGATCATTAAATAGCACATATTCCCATACCGAACAAAAAAGTTAAATATGCTCTATTCTAGAAAAGTTGCTAGTTACTAAAGGAAATAGTTTTCCTAATGTCTATAATGCAAACTTATTGGTGTTCTACTACAATTCCAACGCTTACTCAACTAAACCAGAAAGCTAATCAGGGATGAAAATGCAGGTTATTGCGCTGATGCAAAAACTACATGCCCAGTAGAAAACAAAACCTCTCTCTCACCCACCCACCCATCGACTCCCACTACCAATCTCCCCCGCCCCCCAAGATGGGGAGGAAACGGTTGGGCACAATTAAACGGTAACTCCGCAGAAGTCACCAAAGTAACCATTCCCTCCGAGGCCAAGAAATGCACGCGCTCACCATGGCTAAATGCTGGGGACCGAGCGCCTCCCAGGTCTCCACGATCGCCCTTGGGAGGCCGCGCCGACCC